CCCCAAAACCCCAAAACCCCAAAACCCCAAAACCCCACATTTTGAAATGAAATTGGAATATCAGAAAAGGATTGTTATTTAAAATTGTGAGGCTAAGAGAAGTTTTATTGTGACTCATCGTCATGCCAACAACTTAAGATTGCATCTGAGCAGAAGTTGGGCTCTGGGTTTAGCGAAAGACGATTATGTCATGAGATTTTGAAATTTGGAATGGATTTTCGAAAATCTGCTTGAAATCCAATATCAGTAATCAAGCCAAGAGTATGATCTATCCGTGAAGCGTGCCAGGTTAACTTAAGGTCTCCAAAGTTTCTCTCATGAATTCGTGATTGGTGGTTAGGAGCTAGTCATTTTTCAGCTCTTTCAATAAATAATTCAAGCCATTGAGGTCTATTACTCTGTCTGAGAAAATTCTGAGGAAGAGTTTCGGACACATTTACGTATTGTGTAGAATTCCTCTCTTCATCCAAATAAGAAATTACTTGATACCTATCACTCAATTTTCTCGGAATAAATGAGGTTTTTAGATCGATATCCCTAAAACTGAATTTCTCCAGGCTAGGATTCTTACATAAATTGGCAAACTTTATGAGAATCATGACCATGGTCAGTAGTGAAAGTGTGAGCAATATGATCGATATCACCAATGCCACAAGTTTGAGCTTAGCAAGGCATTTATTTCTTTTGAAAAACACGACTATTAGTGTCCATACCAAAGATATTCCTACTAATGATGTAGAGATCCCTAGCCCTGTGAAGTGAATGTTCTGCACCAAGGAAAAGATAGTCCCTAGACATCCTATAAATAGAGCACCTAGTCAAAGCGTTATGTATGGGGGGAAAAGAATCGCATTATCATCTGGCTTCAAAACTTGTTGAGGTTTGCAAATTTCTTCGTCGTCGTTTATTGAGGTTCTCATAAGAATTAATAATTGTATATATTTTTGCAAAAATTTCAATAATGTAAGGACTGATTGGGGTTTTGGGGTTTTGGGGTTTTGGGGTTTTGGGGTTTTGGGG